TGGTATTATTTTGGATAGTTGATGAAGATGAGGATGATAGAGTAAAACACTTATTTACAAAAAAAAAATAGGATTTTCCTTAATAATTAAAATTTCTGGGGTGAATAAGGTAAGTCAAAGTTTCAAAAATGTCATGGGTTAATTTTGTGTTTGACTTTAAATTTTGAATCATATCTGAAAGAAGCCCAAGTATGAATGCATCGATAAATCTTCAAGATAGAGGTGGGCGAATAATGGGTTGTTCAAGGAACACACCCTTGAATAATCCGAGGTATGCTTGATCACATATTCTGGCCCATTACACACCGTTACGCAAGATGACAAATTAGTATTAAAATGGAAACCCCCATTTCGTAAGAAGTCTAAGAGGACAAATCCTTCCATATAAATGAGAGATTGTGATGAAATACTCTCCTCATTAGAGGATGATAAGGCAAGTGTAAACGAACAAGAGGAAGATGATATATACGCATCTTAGAGACCCGGTGAACCCACCTGAATCTTGACAAAATAATATACCATGGATTTTGTCTGTTTTCACACATGGTATATGTTCTATATATTTGATATATTATATGGATTTGGAGTATGTTTTGAAGTGTTTTAAGGTTTAGGTCCAATCTGGAGAACTTTGTTGATTCTGGAGCTTTTTGAGGTGTAGAACTCCACAGACACATCAGATGTTTATCTATGGATGAATACCTTCCCATGATGAGATTGAGCTGATCTTTTGACACCCGATAAACATTTGACTTATCTTTCCAATGCCACCGTTTTGAGGTCAATCCAACGGTTAGATCAGAAGTTATGCACGTTTGACCGAAGCGTGGTCAGTCTTTCTAACTAGAGAAGGCTGTCGAGGAAATGAAGGAAAGTCTATCAACGACACAGTCTTGGTGTCTATCGACGGTGATGCCTGTATATTTGAATACCAAGCCCAGAAGCCAACAAAATTACACAGATATCCCTGGATGACTAAAATCCTATTTATTTATTTTCTAAGCCATTGTTGACGGCTAAGCTTTATTCTATTCTTGTTCCTAGTTTTAGGAGGGAAATGAAGAACTCCTTCATAGTTATTCTGGAACTCCTTTGGTTCTTTAATTTCTTTCTATTATATCTATTTTAGATTATGCTTTCGTCTATCATGTCTGAGTAGATTCATCTGCTAGGTTTAGGTTTTCTAGGGTTTTGATGGATTAGCCAAACAACAGAATTGCTAGGGTATCAATTGTATCCTTTATTAGGATTGTTCTTACTGCTTGTGTTCTAGAGTAATGAATAAGAATCCTGATAAAAGACATAATTCTATTGAGCTAGTTTGTTAGAGATAAACGAGAGTTGATCGAGGAATCTAGTGAACATATCGATCAGTTTGATAATGCTTGCCTAAGGCAGCATCGATCGACACTAATACAATAGCATAATTCGACACTCAATCTATGTTAACAAACACTGGACTTAGTCAATATATTTGATTCGCAGCGAGATTAGAGCAGGTCATTCGGTAAAACATTAGAACTAGCTGGAATCATAATGAAGATCTTCATGAGAAGGTCCTATCAAGACGAAGATTGTGTACAAACTTTTAGTAGAGAGCGGTCTTAGTGACGACAAGTTTCCAGATTTAGACACCGAGTTAAGAGTGGAAGTCAACATGTACCGGTTGTTAAGCTTCTGATATATATCAAGATGTTGTGTGTCTGGGCGTGAGGGGGTGAGAGTGGTGAGAGTGGTGGAGAAGGTCTTCAACTAGGAATCACTTCGTAGAAGAGATTGAAGAACAAAGTCTCACAAATCTGGAGCATACCGAAAGAGAAACAAAAAAGGAGTGAAAGATAGAGGCACAACAACACAATATTCGGGAACACAACAGAAAATTTCAATTTTGGTGGATTCCTGCTAGCAACCTGAAGGTACGAAATTAATCGCAAGTCATGACGAGGTCTGCATCGGAGCAGAGAGATTGAGAAAAACCCAAGAGGGAAAGAGCTATCAATATAATAAAGAAGACAAGCACGAGTAGGTGAAGGATGGAAAGGTCGACGTCGGCGAGAAAAATCTCGCCAGCATTAAGGAGAAATCGAAACTGAGGTGAACCATTTTGCTACATCTTTAATTTTATATTTTTGTTTTTGACAACAATAACTAAACAAGGAGGTACATAATCAATAGCTAGACGTATAAAATCAACATATTGAAAAGTAGAAAGAGAACTCAGAGCATCACATGTAAGTTTGTCCTTCATTGTAATGGGTGTTGTTGGTACATGCATGAACAATAAATTTAGAAAGAATTTCTTAAAAATCGTTGAAATTCGTCTATATACAGAAGATTTTTTTCAAAAGTTATGTATGATTCTTTATTGAATGCATAGCCATGATGTAACAAATATAGATATTGCATGCACATATTTTTGTAGACTATTTTTTCGTTTTGGTATATAAATATACATATATATATACCAAATTTTGTCTATTAAAATGAGAAAAATAATTAGTTGGGGTATTAAATTGGAAAACAAAAAAAAATTGGGCATTAAAAATCTTAAAGAAGTTTAGTTGGGGTATTTTTATGGAATTTTCCTTTTTGTAATTGGTAACCATTAAATTGCAATAGATAAATTGCAATAATATATGACCTTTAAATACTAAATACATAAAACCTTATTATGATCAACGACATAAGGAAATAATATAAATATTAACCCACTTTTAGATTCTATCCCCTATATATTATTTGCGAAGTGATTTTGCCACATGTCCTCTCTACAATCAGTTTCACAAAAAAAATGATGACATATCTACTAGAATTGATGACATGACATATGATTAAATATGACATGGACAATTGCATTTAATGTTAATATATATTTTTGGAAAACTTTATAAAATATGGTAACAACTCATATATTAGATTTAATGTCGGTTTATATTTTTGGAAATATTTTTAAATATGGTAATAACTCATAAATCATCATTAAAATAAATATATTCAAATATGAAATTATAAATTTCGAAAATATCTTTTAATTATATATTTAAAATTATACAATTTATTAAAAACTTTTCAAAAATGTATACCTTTTTTTGAAAATTATTAAAATTTAATCGTAAAATTATTAATTTCTTTTATATTTACAAATTTAATAAATATTGTCTAATTTTAATTTTTGATAATTATAAATTTTTCTACAAATTTATTTAATATATTTAATTAAAATAAATAGATAAAAAATGTATCTAAGATTATAATTTTAAATATATACATGCATATTCTTAAGAGAAAATGGTTAGAATAGACCTAAAAAAAATTATCACAAATATAGACCTTAACAATTAAAATGACCAAAATAGCACTTAAATTTTTTATTAAATATACATTTATACCCCTTAGATTAACTAATCCTAGATTTTTTTGTTTAGAGTTGAGGAGTGGGATTTTGGAGATAGGGTTTCGAATTTAAACAAAAAAACATAAAATTTTGAAAATAAAAAGTGCTATTTTGGTCATTTTAATTTTTGAGGTCTATTTTTGTGATAAAAAACTTAAAAGAGGGCTATTTGAGAGAATTACCCTATTCTTAAATATAATTTTAAAAAAAAATTCTATTATTATTATTATGTTTAATTAAAAAAAATTGTATTAAAATAGTGATAAGAAAAAGAAAAAATATAATATTAATAAAATTTTAATTTTAAACATAATTTGGAAAACTTTACATAATATGGAACAACTCATATTAGATTTGCTATCGATTTATATTTTTGGAAATATTTTCAAAATATGGTAATAACTCATAAATCATCATTAAAATAATTATATTCAAATATGGCATTATAAATTTCGAAAATATCATTTAATTATATATTTTAAAATTATACAATTTTACTACAAACTTTTCAAAAATGTATACCTTTTTTGAAAATTATTAAAATTTAACCGTAAAATATTAATTTCTTATATATTGACAAATTTAATAAATATTGTCTAATTTTAATTTTTGATAATTAAAAAAAATTCTAAAAATTTATTTAATATATTTATTTAAAATAAATAGATAAAAATCTATCTAAGATTAGAATTTTAAATATATACATGAATATTCTTAAATATAATTTAAAATAAACAAAAATATTTTTCTATTATTTTTATTTTTAATTAAACAAAATTTTGTATTAAAATAGTGATAAGAAAAAGAAAATTTCTAATATTAATAAAATTTAATTTTAAACATAATTTATAT